GGAGAGATTTCTAGAAGTGACCACATCTGGCCAGCGTTCCCTGAGCACTCAAGTTTCTGTAAAATTTTAGTAATAATTATTTCTTGGTGCCATCACTTTGGTGTATCTTTTATTTAAAATTTTATGTTTTATAAAGATATTTTTTCTTCACTGAGCAGGCAGCAGTCTTGCAGTGGGAACTCAGATGGGTGCTGTACTCAGCCCTGTGACCAGGAGTGTGAATCCATTACCTGAACAAATAGTTATGGGACATGTACGGCCACTGGGAGATTTTGCAAACTGGGGGCCACCTCAGTTTAATCTTCCTAAATTATGACTGTTCTAGGATGGGACAGAGAAAACTGTTCCAGAAGAAATTCTATGGGAATGGGTAGGAAGAGCAGATAAACAGGTTGGAGGAATCTCTGCCCACATATACCTGATGGCTTTATTAGTCTGCTTTTTATTACTATAATAAAATACCCAAGGCAGGCTAGTTTTAAAAAAAGAAGAGGTTTTATTTAGCTTACAATTTTGAAGGCTAAAATCTTGGGTTGGATTCAGGCATGGGCCCTTTTGGCTGTGTTACCTTGTGTCAGATGGAAACATTGGGAGTGCATGCAGGAGGAAGAGATCACATTGCCAAAAAGCAGCCAGAAAGAGGACAGATAGGGCCAGACCATTGTTTTTCTCACTACCCCTCTCATGAAAACCAACCAGGGTCCCCTTAGAAATGTCTTAATCCCTTCCAAGGGCAGTGACCTCAGAGACCTAAGGACTTCACACCAGGCCCCACTCCTTGAAAATCCACACATCTCCCAACACTGCCACACTGAGGACTGACCTCCCAGCCCATGAACTCTGGGGGAACGAACCACATCCAGACCATAGATAGCTCTGCTCATCTGTGAGTCCCAACAGCAGTGGAAACAGTAGGAAAGACAGATGGGTGGGGCGGGGAGGCAGGAATGGCCATCTTGGGGGCCTGCAGAGCCTGCTCTGTCTGAATGCCTGTCCTGAAGAGGTCTTGGACTCTCTGCTCTGAGGAGAGAGGGCAGATCCTGCCTTCATGAGGAAGGGGACTGTGATGAGAGGAAAGGTCATGGGGCTGGGACACTTCTTCCTTTATAATTGCCAAATTGGACAGACAAGTTGCTGCAAGCTGGGAAGTTGCTGCCAGGGCTGTCCAAGGTCACTGGAGCTGAAAGTCTTGACATCTGCCAGCATGTTCTCCTTCCTGAGCCTCTCCCTTCTCAGAGGTTCCTTCCAACCTCATGGCCTTTGCCCCTCTAGGAGACCCAGAGACATGGACTGGACCAGAAGTTTCTGGAAGGTTTTTCTGGGTGCTGTTTCTGCAGGAGCCCAACATCTGGGTCTCCTGGGGATGCACATCAGCAAAGACATAGACTTGCCCTCATGGTGAGGAGAATGGTGTGTTAAAGATACCCTTCAAAATAAACTTTGATGTCATGTGTCTCAGGGGTGCCTGACTTTGCCACAATCCCTCCACATAATACTGGACTCACTTTTCCTTTCCTGCACAAGAATCAGGGACAGCTGAGAAAGGGACTTGAGTTTTGGAGATAGGAGTCACTTGTGCTTCAGAGGATGGAGGTGGTTTTAAGGGCAGAGGGTGGGTATGGGGAATATCTCCAGGAGGAAAAGCCACATACTTAGGGACATGACTGGGAGGTGAGGACTCCCTCTCCTGTCTGTGCTGGGGTTGAGGTAAACTCCAGGGCAAAGAGTGGAGGGTCAGAAGAAAGTGACCTAGAAAGAGGGAGAATCAAGCATTTAGGCTTCCTTATCTCTTACCTCTGCAACAGGTTGTATCCAAACATAAAAGTTGTTTTCAGAGACTCTGAACCCACAGTTAGCAGGTACCACTTTAACGTGCAAGGAATAGCACCCCAGGGAGGGGTTCTATGGCGTTCTCCCTATGGCTTCCTTGTGACCCTGCCTCCTTATCAGGTCCTACTAGATGTTAAGGCCAAGAGAGTTGTTAGAACAGGAGGGAAAAGAGAAGCAGGTCCTGAACATCCTTGTGAGATAACAAGACTCTCCTTTCCCCTCGTTGTCTACATCCCATCCCATTGTCCTGAGATGATGATTCCATGCAGGAATCCCCATCCTGCCTCTATCACTCTGTCCTCCCTACACCTGGAATCTTCCCACCTTCCATTAGACTCTATGCTCTCTGGAAGGGAAGTCCTAATAGGTTGATGGCCAAGAGTACCAGCTTTGGAACCAGGTACAATCTAAGATCAAGCCCTTGAATCCACCTCCCAGTAGCTGAGTAATATTGAGCCCATAGTGCAAACCCATAAATTCTGCATCCTTCTTGAAGTCTTCATTTGTCTACTGCAAAGACTCAAATCTGAGGTCAAGATCTGCACTCATAAACCTTATCATCTCCTGCCTCTTCCATGGTTATATGGTACCATCATCCACCTGATTGATCCAACTACAAAGAGACCAATGTTCTACACCCTCACTACCAGGCCCTATTAAATTTGTCTCCTAAATCCCCCCTGAACCAATCTATTTCTCCTTCTTTATCATCATCTATCATCTGAATGAAAACAGTTACCTCAAATGGGCTGCCCCATCTTCTTTTGTCCCTTTTAGAATGTCTTTCTCATACTTTAGGCAGAGTAAGCCTTTTTTACAACACATATCTGATCACCCCTTTCTCTTACATAAACATTTTTGTGAATTCTCATTGCTCCTGAGGTCATAAAACAATCCACCCTTCCATGACTGACTTGCACTTTAATAGGCAAAGGGGCCTCCACCTTTCTGATGTCTAGCACAACCTCTTTGTGCCAGGTTGGGTTTCCTGGAGACAGGCCCTGATATGAAGATGGACAAGCAGGTCATTTTTCAGAGGACTTTTATAATCAACATGTGTGGAAGGGAGGAGAAGGAAATGGGATTGGGTAGAAGGAGAAGTTGAGCAGCCATGAAATCCCAATGAAGACTTTAGCTGACCTCATATGGAGCTCTGGTTGTAGGATGTTCCTTTGGAGTTGTTGTGAGTTATGAGAGAGAATGCAGCCTCTGTACACTAGGCTGATGAATCATCAATATGGCCTGTTCCCAGATGTTACCTTCAGCCAGGTGGCTCTGCTCACCTGAGGCAATCTCTGCAAGGGCTGACAGCCAAGGACCAACTTCTGCAGCCCCAGGCACCAGGACATCCTCAACACTCTTCTCTGGAACATACTCTACCTGCCAAGTTTTGAATTCAGGATCTCTATTCACTAACCCCATGAGGTTCTCAAAGGTACCTCACTTCACACAGGTAATCCCCAATTCTCTGTTCCCACTCAGCCTGACCTGAGATTTGCAGATTGGAAACGTGTAGGGTCAACCTCGTGAGTGACTGAGAAGCAGCAGCCTCTGTCATCTCTGGATGCCTGGGATTGGGGTGAGCTCCGGCAGAGGACAGAGAAGGACACACAGGGCTTGTGAAGTGAGATGAAACCTGGACACATTAGCAAAGTCTCCTGCCACACATTTCCCTGTGTTGTTTCCCAAGGGGGTAAAAGAGGCAAAGAGAACTAACCGAGGGAAAGGTGTTGAGTTTTAAAAATAGACAATATTTTAAACAGTTTGGATTTACAGAAAAATAAATGATAATAGAGTCCCCATATACTCCTAAACATATTCCTTTAATGTTCAAATCTTACATGTGTGTGATATATTTATTATAATTGAACCAACATTGAAACATGTTTATCATGATTATCCAAGGTTTATAGTTTGTTAAAATTTGTTTTATTTTTATCTCATTTCCATTTCTCTATTCCAGGATCCCCGTAGGTTACAGTGTTTCATTTGCTTCTCATGGCTGTGATATTTTCTTAGACTTTCCTTGATCAGATGACCATTTATGTTTTGAGGAATGGTTGACAGGTACATTGTAACATGTCCCTCTATTGGAACTTGTCTAGAATTGGTTTATTAGAATTTTTCTCATTTTTAAACAGGGGCTATGTGTTTGGGGTTGAAATTTGCAGAGGTGACTTGCTTGCTGTTCTTCTGACCCATCAGTGAATGAAGTCCATGTCTTGCTCCAAGACTGACCCGATGGTTTATTCCAAATGTGCCACAGCACTAGGAGTGGGGAATGTTCCACATTCAATCATTTATTTATGGATGCATCAATATTTCTTTAATATTCTGGGTTACAAGACAATGCTACTTTGTTTTGTTGCTCAAATTGTTTCAATTTGGCCATGGGAGCTCCTTCAGCTGGATCCCATATCCTAAAACTCTAATCAATGTTGCTTTTGGTTTTGGGTTTCTGTATTTTTTCCTCTTTTCTCCTTCTCCTTCTCCTTCTTCTTCTTCCACTTTCTTACTCACATAATTTGGATCTAAATTCTTAAATGTCCCTGGAAGGCCCTATGTTAAATGTTTGTGCAAGAGCTTGGTGCAATTAGGAAGTGGTAGAACCTTTATGAGGCAGGCCAGGTTGGAGGTTTGGGGCCTCAGGGGCATGCCCTGAAGGGGTTTATGGGCCCACAGTCCTTTGCTCTCTGCTTTTTCCCCACCATAGGTAACCAGCTTCCTCCGCCATGTTCTCCTGCCATGACTCACTGCTTCTCCATTGGCCCAAAAGCAATGGCCCAACTGATCATGGATGGAAATCTCCAAACCAGAATCCAAAACAAACCTTTCCTCCTTGTAAGTTGATAACCTCAGCTGCCTTTTGACAGTGACACAAGGTTGACCAACACATTTTTAGGGATGTTGAATTTTGATGGGATTTTTTCTTTCTATTTTTGTAGATAATGATGGGAGTTGTTATTCCATGTTTTTACATGCACATAATCTAACAATATAATTTGGCCAGTATCACCCCCCAGGACTTCAACCCTCCCTCCCTGTGATGGGATTTTCAACACATGAAGAAGATAGTCTTTAGAGAAAGAGTTGGAGAATATAAGAGCCATGCCATTGTATAAGGAAAAGTATGTTGAAATATAAGATCTAAAAGAAATCAATATCCCCAATAATGTTTTTATTCATTTATTAAAAAATTTGAAAACTGTTTGAAAAAAACATTGCAGTTACTGACCTAGACATGGAGGCTTAGATGGTCCATTCCCTGTTAGAACTCACATTCTATTTGAGGAAGACAGACAAGCAAAAACAGGCAGTTCTCACTTTGGGGCTGATATGCATGAATTTTAGTTGTAACAGTTTAATTAAATAGCACAAATCCCCCAATACATGGCTCAAATTTAATGTCACTGTAGGTTTACTGCAATTGCATAGAGCAAATTCCACACTAGCTCTTTCATCCACAGACCATTATGGGGACACCAAATGGTCCTCCTCTTCAGTGACTCGTCACTGTTGACTCTTGGATCCGTCCTGTGACTGTCTCACTCAGTTTCCACACAGACAGTGGAGCTTGATTGTCATGTGACTTCCTTGTCTCCCAACAATGAACCCACATGACATTTTCCAGAAATGAAAAATTGAAAGAGGGACTTGCCAACAGACATGAAAGGACAGGAGAGGTGACAATGCTGGAAGTGAGATTCACACTGGACACAAGTGGAGTCAGGATAGAAGTAGCTGGCTATGGTGTGTGGACATGGATCCCACATGGGGACTTTCCTTTGGCAGACGGAGGAACCTAGTGAAGGTGAAGCTACCCACATACACCAGGGGAGTGGTGGTGACCAAAAGGGTGATGGTGTTAAAGGGGCTGATAATTCCCCAAGGCAGAGAAGATGCTTGCTTTATATTTTAAAGAAGAACAAGATGGACACTCTTCAGACTCCTCTGGATAAATTTTTACAAAGAAAAACAACACTACCACTCAGTTTCTAATGTTTCCACTTACAGTACACTAAGTGCTCATCTTATTATTATTTACATTTCCCTATACATTTAAACTGACATTTAACTGACATAATGAGAGTTTTTAATATTCTGAAAAAAACTGTGAATGTGCAAGAACAATCACTGTTTTTCTTAATCTCCATGGAGATGGCCCAGGGTTTCTATGGACAACAAGGACTGCCATCATCCAGTATAATGCTATTATTAATAAGTGCTGAGGAAGAAAACCACTCAGATTAAGGCAAACTTTTTTTCCTGGCTTTGAGGCATGGGACATCTATGTAAAGGAGAATGAGAATTATTCTTATTAAATAATTATGAGTTTCCTTTGAGAACCTCAACACCTTGCACCTCAACAAGGCTGGGGAGCAAGGGTAGGCAGGAAAAAGAAGGTAGAATGACTCTTGAGAGCGAGGACTTGGGGTGCTTGATGGCTGAGCCCAAGGCAAAGGAGGAGAGCCATCCTGATGCGGTCAGATGGGGCTTTCTTGTCACATTCTGGGGAGGGATCATGAGTTGCTGTCCAGAGGCAGGTCCCAGGGCCCTGCTCAGGACCATGAGTGCAGGCTTAGCCTGGGGCATCAAGGACTGGGCAGAGGCACAATAGGGGCCTGTGGGTTGGGTGGTGTCCTGGGAGGAGACATTTGGAACAGTCTACAGAGGCTTCTGGGCAGCTCCTTCTCTCAGACTGAGCACCGTGGAGCAGGAAGAAGGTGGCAAAGACTGAGGGTCCCAGGCAGCAGGGCTTGGTGAAGGATCTGTGGGAAACATGTCCACATTCAGTTATCTGCTTATCTTTATGACACATCTCCTGAGAGCTGTGATGTCCTGATGTGGTCGTCCTGGGATGCCTGTTGTCAGTGGCCCAACAGCCCCAAGACAGGACTCTGAGCTCAGCCTCTCCTATGTACTGACTGTCCTCCCTTCTCTTTCAGCTTGGCCACACTGAAGGTCAGAAGGGGAGCAGCCCTGAGCAGCCCATCTAGAACTTCTCGACATTGCTTCCTATAGTAGAATCTTCCTGTCCATAGAGATCTAGTGGTGGACTAATCTAGAGGTGGCCTCCAAGTGACACACCCAATCTGATGCTCTTCATTGCGCCCCATTATCCCATCATCTCTGGGGCCCCTAGGAATCAGTGCACACCCACTGACAATCCTTGATCTCATTTCCTGCAAACCCCACACATTTCCTGGGAGCTGGGACTCCATAGAAGTTGCCCGATATCCTGAGGGTGCTGAGAGGTGTGTGGCTGGTTCTCTATACCCCCTGACTCTGCAGCTGTGCACAGGTGGGCTTCCACTCCCCCTGGCCCTGCCCCTTCTGCAGCAGCCTGTTGTTCACCCTCCTCCTGGGGACTTACAGTCAGGACTTCTGTTTCCTGTGGACGTAAATGGCAAAGACACTGACAGCCATTAGGGTCTTGAGTCCAAGTAACAGGGCTATGAGGTATGAAGCAAGATTACAATTCACTTTTCCTAAAATCAAAGGACAGGAGGACCATTAGAAGGGCTCCCGGGAGTCAGCCCCAGGAACCTGCGCTTGCTCTAACTGAGGCTCCCTGGGCCCAATGTTGTGAAGCTTGAGCACACACACCTGTCCTGGCTGCCCTGGTCAAGCCTGAGGCAGAAGCCCAGTCAGAGTTTCCTCAGTCCCACTCAACCAGCCCCAGGTCCCAGGGTGTCCTCACTGACGGGAGGTGAAAACGTGTGCTCCGTGCACACTGCCCACCCAGCCATGCCAGTTCCCTACTTGATCCTCACTATCCCATGGGGAGGGATTATCATCTCCTCCTGAGAAGGAAACCGAGGACTGGGCCCAGAGAGGTTACGCCCCATTATCCCATCATCTCGGGGGCCCCTAGGAATCAATGGCATATAAAGGTGACACCGTAGATAAAATGGACCAAAATTCCTTAAGAACAGCCTACCCCAATACACATATTAAGAAATCAATCATATGAATGGCCCTAAACTACTAAGGAAATTTATCATTTTAAAACTCAGGAAAAATTTCTTGATGCTCATATATTTTCCCAGGGAAGTTGCACCATGCAATTAAAGATGAATTAAAACTAATTCTGGTGCACCAAAACCAGCTATAAAATGAATTTTGGAAAAATCGGAATATATGCTCCAATTATTTCAAATTATTGGAGAATTTTTGTTAATTTTATGATAATAAGCTGTATAATAAACATGAATACTACCTTTATTATTAATTTTCTTATCTAGAATAATGCTGTTGGATTTGTAGAGGAATGTCCTCTATCATTTGACCATTCCAGATGTGGACTCCACTTGCAGTGGTGTGCATACCTGGCTAAGTGATGAGTAGATGGGATTAGGCAGCTCCCCCATGTATCTCTAACTATGAGGGAAACTGTCATTCACTGCCTACCTACCATTAGTCTTCCTGCAGGAAGGCACAGGGACAAATCCGTGGCCCATGAGGACCATGATAGGGCATGCTGGAAGGAAACTGGCCCTTGAAAAAGTCTTTTGGAGTCTGGACCCACTCCTGTGTTACACAGGGAACTAAGTCACACTGGGCCACAGAATGGAGTCTCCAGACAACTGTGGTGTTTGGGACAATGTTCAGGGGAGAGGGAACATTTCTTTCATTAGCTTTATAGGCTGGCGATTTCCTTGTCCCCAGGGACCTTAGATTTGCCTTGAGTTGTGTAGATGGATCTCCGGGTGTGAGGGCAGGAAGTCATCAGCAACACCCCTGTTGCTCCCCAGGGCCATCCTAGTCCTCTTTCACAGGGTGCAAAAAAGGACACTGGAGACAAGTTGAAATTTGCATGTTGTGATGGTGATTGAGGTTGCCACCACGGCTGCCCAGAGCCTTTGTCTTTCTGTGTGCATTTCCGGAATCCTTCAGTTTCTAGAAGACCATCTTTTTGGATTTTGATTGGAATTGTGTTGATTCTAGAGATGGGATCAGTGAGGAGTGATCAGTCCCTCTGAGTATGTATTCAGATTTATTCAAAAATCCTTTCAGAGCTGGTTTTGGTGCATCAAAATTAGTATTAATTCATCTCTGGATTGGTCCATACTTAGTAGCCCATCCTCAGGGAGTCCTTTCCAAATTTCATCCAGGAGAGACAGAATTTTCTAGGTAAGGAAACAGATGAGTATGGAAAATTCCAATATGGAATGGAGGCTGGGCAGAGGATAACAGAGTAAGGAGCAGGGAGAGGCCCCGAGGAAAGATAGCAGAGCACTTGTTAGGTGCAGAGACAAGAGGCAGGACAATAGGATAGGCTGGTCCCCTCCCTCCCTGATTCTCTTCTTTAATATCTGCTTATGTCAGAACACCCATGGAGAGATGGATCAAGCTCTTCACAGAGGAGACTCTTGGGGTGAGGATGGGGGCGGGATTGCAGCTGACTTGATGGTTCTAGTATAGATTTATAGACTTGAGAATTATTCTGTAGTAAACATGAATATACTTTACCACTTAAAAAAGAGACTGGATACAAAAAGACCCCATCAGCTGGAGTGCTTATCATGCCAGGAGATGTTCATACCCTGCTCTTTCTGAGACATTCAGCCTCTGGTTCCTGGAGGTGGCTGGCTGCCCATCATGTACCACCTGGCAGGTGAACACCACGTCCCTGCTCTGGGAACATAAGTCCACCAGGAGCCAGCTCATGTGGTTATATGTCCCATCTTTGTTCTCTGTGATGACTGAGGTGGATTCGGTCCTGGACACATTTCCATTCTCCACCCAGGGCAGCTTTAGGCTCCGGGGGTACAACTGCATCACCTGGCAGGTGACGTTCACAAGATTCCATGCCATGGTGGGCAGTGGGGTGACCTCTGTGGAACTGAAACAGCACAGGCAGAAGCTGTGACCTTATGGCACAGACAGCTGAGCTCCTCCCAGCAGGGCAAGGGCCTCCCTTGGGACAGTACCAGGTGTGAAGCAGGGACTCAGACATTGAAGGTTTGCACGGGAGTGAATCACTAACCACAGGGCCTGCCATACCAGAGGTGCCAAGTGACCAGCAGCTCCTCTTAGGGTAAAGTGAGTAAGGTTGACAGGCTGCCTGCAGCAAGTGAGCAGAATAGATGAAACCTCCCTGCACATCAAGGCTTGGCTCTGAGAGGAGCTCAGCAGTGGTAGTTGCTTCTGGTCAATGAAATGAAGCCACCACTGATGCTGGACACAGGGCAGGAGTCCACATGTGCATGGAAGGTGACAGCACTGCTGGGAATTAGAGCAAATGCTCCTGGGGAGCAGCAGGCTGGGTGGCCAGGTGTGGGTTGGGGTGGGGAACAGGGTCCTATACCTTGTATGGTGTCAGACAACTTGGCAGTCCCACAATGAGGAGGGCCCCCCTGCAGGGTGAAGTGGGCACCTTGCAGATGATCTGAGAGTGAACGTCCTTGGGGCCCAGGGTCACTTGGGCTGTGCTGGGGGGACACACTGTAGGACACACTTTCTCCCGTGGGGTCCATGCTGGTCTGGGTGTACAAGAGCTCATTCCCATTTTTGAACCACTTGAGGGGTGATATTTTGGGAGGAGAAGCTGTGGGACTTGCAGGTGAAGCTCACCATCTGCCCAGGTGTGGCCCTGGTCACAGGACCTGACACCACGGGAGGAGAAGGTCTGGCTGAGGAGGAGCATTGACAGACAAGTCAGGAGATTGGGAGACCCCCCTCTGGCCCCAAGTATGTGACCCTCTGCAGAACCTTGTGAGTCATTTTTATTTTTTTTGTTTGTTGCACTGGGGATCGACCCTCAGGTGCATGCCAAGTACATGCTCCGTCCCTGGGCTACACCCAAATGACAAGACTTCATTTTCTTAATCCTCCTAATGAAGCTCTGTGCATGTGTAGCCCTGTGTGGTGTCCCTTCTCTTTGTCTCTAGGCAAGCACAGCTGTCCAGGCAGACAGTGAGGACCGTCAGCCCAGGTGCTGCCCCAGGCCTGAGATCCAAGCCTTCCTCTCAGCACCAGGGCACAGCTATCAACCTCGTCAGTGAGGAGCTTGTGGACCTTTCTCACTCTTTTTAATATCTGTTTCTGCACGCTGACCTGGCATCCTTGCCACCCAGGGAACTGTTTAAAGAAGCAAATACAGGGACAAATAGCACCAGGACACCATCATGAATAGGGGAACAAGGCTGTTTGAGTTTCATACACATGTATGACATGTGCTGCGCAGCACGTCTCTTCCCAAGCCACACGGAGCACAGTTGGCTTTGATCACATAGGGCTGCCTCTGGAAAATCAGCAAAGAGTGGGGTGCATTGGCTCAGTCCGAAATCTCAGCAACTGGGGAGGCCGAAGCAGGAAGACTGCAATTGCAAGGCTAGGTTGGGAAACTTAGCCACATCCTGCCTCAAAATAAAAAAATAACAAGAGCTGGGGATGTAGCTCAGAGGTGAAGTGCCCATGGGTTCAATCCCCAGTGCTAAAAACAAAACTAGACTAAACAAATCTGGCAAACACAGGTCCTCCTATTGGCAGATTTTATTCTGTGCAGGGTTCATCCACAGGGGGTTATGAATTCACCGATCATTCTCATTTCCACAAATATACCATGGGTCTCACCTGGGCCAGGGACTGAATTGAGAGGGAGAGGATGAAGGGGTGCTTTTCTGAATCTGGGTCACTTTGCATTGGAGTCACAGGTCACTGAGTGCAGAGGAAGCCACAGGGCTAAGATTTTAGAATACAATTTCTAGGTGAAGCCAGGGACTGATGGCCCAGGCCCCTGAGCAGATCCTTAGGGCATTCAGGGGAGAGGATGAGCAGGACAATTACCTGTGGACAGGTACTTAGAGGGATCCTTTGGTGTCTCCAGATTGCTCATTACCACCCAGCACCTTCTACAGCTGTCACCAGGCAGCAAATGCCATGAATATTTGTATCAGCAAATATTGACCTCACTGCCTGACATGCACACAACACTCAGAGGGCACAATATGGAGGGTGTCACTGAAGAAGTGGAGTCACCCAGACCACAGCAGCTTGGAAGTCCCTACAGGGATTAGGGATTTGGATCAAAGGCCACTTATCAAGAGCTGCTCAGCATCCTAACACTGTCCTGAGCCCTTGGAGCCTCTCAGCTCTTGAATCCCCACCTGTCCCATGAGCGGGTCCTAGTGAGAGCCCATTATGAGATAAGGCTCAGGAGGGACATGGCTGGCCAAACTCACCCAGGATGGGGGAGAGGTGAAAAGAGCAGACTCCTCCACACAGGAGGATTGCTCAATAATTATTTCTGCAGATGGAGTCCCTGGCTAACGCTGGATCTGAGCTGGCTCTGTCGGGAGACCCTGCCACAGGGCCCCAGAGAGCTGAGCCCAGCACTTGCTGTTCTGAAGCAACCACACTGAGAAACCCTCCCATGCTCTCCTTCATTGCCAGAGGAAAACCCCAACTTTCCTTCTGTGTCTTCAGGACATCTAGCTCAGGGTTTTTCAGCCCTGGCTGTGTGTTAGAATCTTCTGGAGTAAGTGAAAACTTCAGATGCCCAGACCCACGTCAGAGATTTTAGAATACAATTTCTAGGTGAAGCCTGGGTCTGGGGAATTTTGTCTTCAGTTTTCCCCATGATTCCTATGCACAGCCAGTGGGGAGCCCCCAACCCCACCCACCACAACAGTAAGAACAACTGTAACATCTCCACAGGAAGAAGGCTTTGCCCTTGTTCAAATAATGGAGCAGTTCTGTGTGTCCTGCTGGGGCATCTCCCTGTGGAAGGAGATCGTGGCCGACATTCAGGAGAGGTTCTCCAGTCACTGTGGGCTTCAGGGTGTGAATGTCAGTGGCACCTGAACCTTGGGAGATAGATGAGGACCAGAGATGCTGCTCGCTGCCCAGTGGGTCAGGTCAGGGTCTGTATTGAGCCCCTCCTGTGCCCTGGCTCCTCTGTGGGGACAGTGTCTATCCCCAGGGCAGCAAGGAGCCTGGGCTGGAGTCAGGTCTGGGCTCTGTCCCCTCCTGGCATTAATGTGCTGTGTGAGAGAGGGCCTGCCTGGGCCTCCAGCTCCCCAGGTCAACAGGGGTGGGCACAGTGTACTGACCACCTCAGCCTCATGGCTTAGGAAGAGTATGCAGAGCCTCTCAGGAAACAGAAAGTGAGCACCTGTGCTTCCTGAACCTGGAACCCCTGTGTCACATACATGGAGAACACTCTCTGAGTGAGTGACCCAGCTCTTCTCCTACCCTGCAGGGCCTGTGAGGGCTGGTCCCTGAGACACAGGGATTTACAGACAGACCCAAGGCAAAGGCCCCACCTCTTGGCAGCTCCTCCACCAGGGCCCCAGGTCTACAGGGAACCTGAGCCTGTCAGAATCCTCCCAGGTGCTGTTCCAGGAGGGGAAGGAAGGAAAGCATGCCCTGGCCCCTCCCTGCTCTGGAGGGCCTGGTCCTCACTAGGAACACTAGCCTGGTGGGAGGAGAACTTTACCTGCTCTGCTCCCAGCTCTTTCCAGAGCATCCTGGGTGCTTCTGGCATAAAGAGAAGGGTCACCCCCACAGGGCAGTGCTCTCTAAAGGTAACAGATATGGTCTGGCTCTGTGATTGGCAAGTCCCTCAAACCCTCAGAGCCCTCAGCTGGGGAGCCACAGGACAGGCCAGACTAGAAAAGGTCAGGGCTGTGGAGCAGGCAGGTGAGGGGTGCAGATGCCCCCATTTGCCAGCCATGGAGCCTGGACCAAACAGCATGGCCTCCACAGGCCTCTGCCTCCCTGACCTGCAGAAGGGGTGACCGCAGGTCATGACATGAGCACCCAGTGCTGCTCCTGCTTCTTAGCTGTGGTCCCCAGGATGGAGGGTGTGACCCCGACCTCCTGTCCCACCCCAGGGAGGAGGAGGCAGCTGCACTCACCTTGCACAGACAACTCGGTGCCTGGTCCAGACTTGTCGATTTCTGGAACTTCACACAGTAGTAGGTGCCGGCGTCTGCTGGGGTGACATTACTGATGCAGATGGAAAAGTCCTTGTTGTCCCTCTTTGTTGCATCTGAGGGATTTGTGACTCGGGGGAAGTGGCAATCTTTGAAGTTGTAGATCAACTCCCGGCCTGGCCCTGCCCCCTTAAACCACCAGATGGACCCCACAGGGAGCAGGGCGGTCACAGTGCAGTGCAGAGTGGCCGACTCTCCAGCAGCGACAGACACTGACTTCTCAGGCTGAATCACCTGCAGCTCCTGTGCAGCTGCTCCTGGGGGAGACACAGGGTGGTCACCATTCATCCTGGGGGATTCTCTTGGTTTATCACGTGGTATCAGCAATGCCTGTCACTGACTGAGTGCCCACAGAGTGGCCTTGAACTCAGCACAGGGCATGTGTCCTTCACACTGAGCCTCCCCTGGCCTGCACCTCCACACTGTGAGACACCTGCCCCTGAGGCCCAGAGCCCTGAGCAAGGTGGAGGGAGGGGACTTAGGGCCTGAGCACCCCCCCCTCCTGAACTCTCATGTCACCAACCATGTATTGCTTTTTCCCTTTCTGGCCACTGGTACAATGGACCATGCCATTGGGTGGGGTCCTGTGGCTCCTTGAGACTCCTGCGTTTTGGGGGAGTGGTGGGTACAGTTAGTAGGAAATGCATTTCATTATGAGAGTCTCTGGCTCAGCTTCCTTGTTCCACAGAGATTCCCAAGCTCATGATGGGGTTTCCTTCATCACCTTGGAGTGATCATAGTGCATACAGCCATGAACTTGCAGCTCAAGTAAGAAATGAAATATTGCTGAACTCCTCGCATATTTCCCCACAGTAAAATTAAATTATATCTAATGCCGCTGTGACAAATGACTGCACACCTAGTGCCTAAGACAATAGATCTATCATGTTATGGTTGTAAACATGAGAAATCCAAATTTCCTACCACTGGGTATCCACCCAGGGGTCCTCATGAGAGCTATGTTTCATTACAAGGCTTTGTTCCCTATTCTTTACATCCAGGGGGGCTGCCTGAGCTGCTTCCCTGTTTCCCATCCTCCTATGACTCCACCCTCTTGCCGTCCCCATCCCATATCCTTCCCTAGCTCACCCCTCCTGCCTCCTTCTCCTCAGGACTTGGTGGGCCCAACTTGATTAGAGACCAGCACTGTGAAGCAGCTGTCTCCAACAAGCTCTAGGAAAATATGGAAAAGTAGAAAAGGAAACGTGGAATGTGATCAGCAAATTGAAAACATCAATAAAGGGAGAGACAGTATAAAAATACACGAAAGAGACATTTGGGGGTTGTAAAACTCAACTAACTGAGAAGTTCACTGGAGATTCCACCACAGATTGGCATAGGCAGTTAAAAATCATGAAATGTGGAGCAGGACCCATTGATATTGCTGAGTCTGCAAACAGAAAAGAAAAAAAAGGGATCTTAGAAAGACCCTAAAGTCCATTCAGGATATTACAGAGTACACTGACACACTTATGAGAACCCCAGAGGAAAAAGCAAAGAGAAGGGCAGCAGTTTATTTGAAAAAGAAATGTCCTCCACAATCTTGAATGTGATCAAGTATATGAATGTTCTAATCCAAGAACAAACTCCAGGTACCATCAACATGTGCAGAGCCACACTGAGGCACATTGTAGACCAATCTGCCAAAGCTAAAGGAAAAGAGAGAATATTGAAGCAGAAAGAGAGGCCTGTCCACCACATACAGGGTTCCTCCTAAGGTTTGTATCAAGTTCTTAATGATGGGAACCAGAGGCAGCAAGATGATGTATCTACAGTGTTGGAAAAGAGGTACTAAGAATTCTCTACCTGGCAAAGCTGTCCTTCAACATGAATGAGAAATGAAGATATTCCCACATAAACAGAAACTGAGCAGGTCACTGCCTCTAGAAATGTTCTGCAAGAAATTCTAAGGGAGTCCATTAAGTTGCAATGAAAGGATGTTAGATAATAAGGCCAAATTGTACCACAAACTAAAGATCTGTTGTATCACAAATGTTTTAAGCTTCCTGATGCCCCAACAAGCAGATATGAACACTCCATTCAGCCAACAGGTTCATCAATGCAATACGCTGTTCTCTGTCCCAAGTTCCCTTGCTGCTCTCCCTGGACTGTGATCTAGTGGCATCCACACACACCTGTGAAATCCCTCACAATGTTGGCTTGTGTGCTCTGTAGAGACCCCCAAGAAGGTTCTTGCCCAGGGGTTCTGTCTCTAGAAACTATGTTCCTGATAAATCCTTAATTTCTTGTGCCTCTCCAGGTGCAGTTTCCACAGCTCTGTTGGCTTGGGCTTTAGGTGGCTCATCAGTGGGATTAACCCTCCCATTGACAACACAGTAGAGATGAGGAAGGGAGGTTCTAAAGTCAGGTGCAAAGTCCCTGGGGCATGGCCTCTGACTGCTCATGCCTCACTTCCTAGCTGTCCCCAGTGGCTCCACTATGTTGCACAGCTCTCTGGCCTGCTGGCTGACTTGTGCCCTCGTGTGTGCAGCTCACTGCTGGTGCCTGTGTAGTTCTAGGAGGTGCTGAGTGTCCCTTTATGAGTGCTAGTGTGAAAGTCAAGGGGGCAGAGGGCCACAGAACAGCTGGATGAGCCTGTTCATAGTGTCCAACATATGGTGAGTGGCATTAGTGAGAGATAATTCCTTTTCTGGACTTTACATGGTTCCCCAAATGATTCCCCCTAAATGTCCATGCTGCTCTGCTGGCAGCCCCTTCTCTGATGCTTTCTTGCTGATGTTGATCCCCACCTCCCACCCCGTCCATGGCTGCCATCCAAGGTGATGGGTGGCTCCTGATACAAGGGGAACAGAGGAAGGAGCAATTTGAGCTCTCTTTCCTTCAGATGCCCAAAAATATAATTTGAGGTTATAAATCTTACTTGGGAAATGTGCTTGGACTTTGAAGTGCTGCTGCCATTGACAGGCTATGAGTCTCTCTCTTAAAATTAAATGGTCACAAATAAAGAATTTAAAAGACACAGTTGAGACCACTATTGCTCCTCTGGATTGCTCCCCTGTGCTCTGCATTAGTCAACTTTGTTTGCTGTGGTCAACACCTGACAACAACAACTTAGAGGGGGAAAGGGTATTTTGGGCTCACAGTTTCTGAGCCAGTCCACTGTCAGTTGGCACCAAGGCATGATGTCCATGAGTGGAGGGCGTGTGGTGGACAACTGCTCAGTCCATGACAGTGAGTGCAAGGAGAGAGAGAGAGAGAGAGAGAGAGAGAGAGAGAGAGAGAGAGATAATAGTGGTGGGAAGAGCAAGTGCACATGACAGTCCAGGGATGAAATACAGTCCTCAGGGACAAGCCCAGGGACTTCTTTCCTTCCGCCAGTCCACACCTGCCTATATGACCACCACATTGGAATTCCAACACACTCCTGTCAGATGGCAGTCATCAAGAATATAAACTACAGATGGTGGTGAGGATGGGGAAAAAGGAACCCTTACTCAGTGTTAGTGAAAATGCCAATTACTAAACCTACTATGAAAATCAGTGTGGAGCTTCCTCAAGAAACTAAAAACAGAACTACTGTGTGGTCAACTCTATCACTGCTTGGTATTTATCTTAAAGAATTGAAGTCAGTACACTGTAGAGAACTGTAGAGGTACGTGCTTACCTATTGTTATGGTTTAGACATGAGGTATCCCTTACAAGCTCCTGTGAGACAACGCAAGAACGTGAGAAGGTGAAATGATTGGGTTATGAGAGCCTTAACCTCAACAGTGTCTTAATCCCCTAAGTGGAATTAACTGAGGGTGACTGCAGTCAGGTATGGTGTGCCTGGAGCAGGTTGGTACATGGGGGCATAACTTTGGGGTCTTTATTTGTTCTGTAAATGCAGTTTTATCTTTTTCTTCTTCTTGGTGGCCATGTCCTGACCTGCTTATTCTGCCACATACATCTGGTATGATGTTGTGCCTCAACTCTAGCCCAGAGGAATGGAACCTCTATAGGCTGAGACCTCTGGAAAAATGAGCTTTCAAATTAATCTATTCCTCCTCTAATTGTAGTGTCAGGTTTTTAGTTCACAGCAGAAAATAAGATGACTAAGATACCCATGTTTATCACAGCACAACTCACAATAACCAAATCATGAAATCACCTAAGTGTCCCTCAACAGATAAATGGATAAAGAAAATGTACTACATTTACACAATGGAATTTTTGTTAAACCATAAAGAAGAATGAAATTACATCATTTTCAGGAAAAAATGTAACTGGAGATCATCATTTCAAGCAAAATTGGAGAGACTCAGAGAGACAAGCAGTGTCTTCTACTTGTGGAAGATAGAGGGGGAAAAACCAGAGTATCATGAAAGTAGAGGGGAGGAAAGGGAATCTGGGGGGGGGAAGGAGGGTGCAGAGAGGTAATGGGGCATTAGGGAGTGAATTTAATCATTATGTTATATGCATGCATGAATATGCCAGAAAGAAATGCATTATTTTGTGAAATTCATATGTCCTCTGACTACAAACAAACAAACAAAACACAGAAACAGTGAAAAAGAAAGAGGAACAAAGCTCCCTGGCATCTTTCCAGCAGAGGAGGTTGGATGACCTTTGCAGATCAATGTTGAGGGATGGTTCAACCTATGTCAGCATCATAGCTGCTGAAAGGCTCACAGCCAACACAGGCTTGCAGCCTAGTTAAGGGAGCAGCCTGGAGTCTCCACAGTACCTGTGCATTGGAAAAGGATCTCACATCATCTCCTCACCAAGCCCAGAGCCCAGGCTGCTGTAGTGGTGCCATCCTAAGAAGTGAGTTAATGTCTGAATTTTTACTGCTTGAGGGATTAAAACACTATATATTCCTCACTCTGGTAGCCCATAATTGATGAAATAATAAGGAATGAAATTAGTAATCAATGATAAAATAAAGAATAGAAGTTACTCTAACACCTGGAGGCTAAATCATATGCTATATAATGACCAATGGGTAGCAGAAGAAATCAAGAATGAACATAAAAATACTGAGAGGTAAATGGAAAGAGTGATACAATTCATTAAGATCTCTGGGACACTATGAAGGCAGTTCTAAGAGGAAAATTCATTTCCTTGAGCTCATTCATGAAAAGAAGAGAAATTCACCAAATAAATAATCCAAATCACTCTCAAAGCCCTAGAAAAAGAAGAAAAAAATCAACACAAAACACAGAACAAGATAGGAAATAATTAAAATGAGAGCTGAAATCAATAAAATTGAAACAAAAATAATTTTAATAATTGAAGAAACAAAAGGTTAATTCTTTGAAAAAAGAAATAGAAGTGATAAACCCTTAGCCAAGCTAACAAAGAGAATTAGAGAGAAAACTCAAATTATTAAAATTAGTGATGAAAAATAAAATATCACCACAGACACTACTGAAATGCAGAAGATAATCAGAAACAATTTTGAAAATATATACTCTAATAAAAATAGAAAATCTTGAGGTCATTGCCAAATTTTGAGAAACATATGACCTAACCAAATTGAATCAGGAAGGCAGAGAAAATTCAAA